GTATACCCGGTGTGAATGTGAAGATACCACAGTTACTGTCCAGTATACCTGGTGTGAATGTGAAGATACCACAGTTACTGTCCAGTATACCCTGTGTGAATGTGAACATACAATAGTTACTGTCCAGTATACCCAGTGTGAATGTGAAGATACCACAGTTACTGTCCAATATACCTGGTGTGAATCTGAAGATACCACGGTTACTGTCTAGTATACCCGGTGTGAATGTGAAGATACCACGGTTACTGTCCAGTATACCCGGTGTGAATGTGAAGATACCACAGTTACTGTCCAGTATACCCCGTGTGAATGTGAAGATACCACGGTTACTGTCCAGTATACCCCGTGTGAATGTGAAGATACCACAGTTACTGTCTAGTATACCCGGTGTGAATGTGAAGATACCACAGTTACTGTCCAGTATATTCAGTGTGAATGTGAAGATACCACAGTTACTGTCCAGTATACTCAGTGTGAATGTGAAGATACCACATTTACTGTCCGGTATACCTGGATTGAATGTGAAGATACCACAGTTACTGTCTAGTATACCCTGCGTGAATGTGAAGATACCACAGTTACTGTCCAGTATACCCAGTGTGAATGTGAAGATATCACAGCTACTGTCCAGTATTCCCTGTGTGAATGTGAAGATACCACAGTTATTGTCCAGTATACTCAGTGTGAATGTGAAGATACCACAGTTACTGTCCTGTATACTCAGTGTGAATGTGAAGATACCACAGTTACTGTCCAGTATACTCAGTGTGAATGTGAAGATACCACATTTACTGTCCGGTATACCTGGATTGAATGTGAAGATACCACAGTTACTGTCTAGTATACCCTGCGTGAATTTGAAGATACCACAGTTACTGTCCAGTATACCCAGTGTGAATGTGAAGATATCACAGCTACTGTCCAGTATTCCCTGTGTGAATGTGAAGATACCACAGTTATTGTAAAGTATACCTGGTGTGAATGTGAAGATGCCACAGTTACTGTCCAGTATACCCAGTGTGAATGTGAAGATACCACAGTTACTGTCCAGTATACCAGGTATGAATGTGAAGATGCCACAGTTACTGTCCAGTATACCTTATGTGAATGTGAAGATACCACAGTTAGTATCCAGTATACCCTGCGTGGATGTGAAGATACCACAGTTACTGTCCAGTATACCCAGTGTGAATGTGAAGATACCACAGTTACTGTCCAGTATATCCAGTGTGAATGTGAAGATACCACAGTTACTGTCCAGTATATCCAGTGTGAATGTGAAGATACCACAGTTACTGTCCAGTATACCTGGTGTGACTGTGAAGATACCACAGTTACTGTCCAGTATACCCTGTGTGAATGTGAAGATACCACAGATACTCTCCAGTATACCCAGTGTGAATGTGAAGATACCACAGTAACTGTCCAGTATACCCTGTGTGAATGTGAAGATACCACAGATACTGTCCAGTATACCCCGTGTGAATGTGAAGATACCACAGATACCCAGTATACCCGGTGTGAATGTGAAGATACCACAGTTACTGTCCAGTATACCCGGTGTGAATGTGAAGATACCACAGTTGATGTCCAGTATACCCAGTGTGAATGTGAAGATACCACAGATACTCTCCAGTATACCCAGTGTGAATGTGAAGATACCACAGATACTCTCCAGTATACCCAGTGTGAATGTGAAGATACCACAGTAACTGTCCAGTATACCCTGTGTGAATGAGAAGATACCACAGTTTCTGTCCAGTATAACCTTTGTGAATGTGAAGATACCACAGTTACTGTCCAGTATACCCGGTGTGAATGTGAAGATACCACAGATACTCTCCAGTATACCCAGTGTGAATGTGAAGATACCACAGTAACTGTCCAGTATACCCTGTGTGAATGTGAAGATACCACAGTTTCTGTCCAGTATAACCTTTGTGAATGTGAAGATACCACAGTTACTGTCCAGTATACCCGGTGTGAATGTGAAGATACCACAGTTACTGTCCAGTATACCTGGTGTGAATGTGAAGATACCACAGTTACTGTCCAGTATACCCTGTGTGAATGTGAACATACAATAGTTACTGTCCAGTATACCCAGTGTGAATGTGAAGATACCACAGTTACTGTCCAATATACCTGGTGTGAATCTGAAGATACCACGGTTACTGTCTAGTATACCCGGTGTGAATGTGAAGATACCACGGTTACTGTCCAGTATACCCCGTGTGAATGTGAAGATACCACAGTTACTGTCCAGTATACCCCGTGTGAATGTGAAGATACCACGGTTACTGTCCAGTATACCCCGTGTGAATGTGAAGATACCACAGTTACTGTCTAGTATACCCGGTGTGAATGTGAAGATACCACGGTTACTGTCCAGTATACCCCGTGTGAATGTGAAGATACCACAGTTACTGTCCAGTATACCCTGTGTGAATGTGAAGATACCACAGTTACTGTCCAGTATACCCTGTGTGAATGTGAAGATACCACAGTTACTGTCCAGTATACCCTGTGTGAATGTGAAGATACCACAGTTACTGTCTAGTATACCCTGTGTGAATGTGAAGATAGGACAGTTACTATCTAATGTACATATCACAGTGACATTTGATGGACTACTGTCAGTCCCAGTCCAGGTTTATGTGAAGCTTGCACGACGACTGCTTGACGCTTTTGGTTGTTATTTCGAACACGTGGAAACTGGTTGTTGTGCCTGTAAATTGAGCAGGAATGCGTTTGTATTTTGTTTCCTAATCGGTGATCAACACTGATTTCCGCCATGTATACAGCGTGCAGGTTATCTGTTCTTCTCAAATCTTTAAACCAGAATCGTTGCAGTCAGAAGCACGGAGTTATGTCCCTTCAGGATACGCTCATCGGGGTTTGAATCCCCTTCACTAAACTTTCCACGCTATGATAAACCGTTACATTTTGTTTAAGAAATCCGTCATTACCGCTTTCATCAGTAAAAGGGGCAGAAAAAGCAACAGGGTTGGGTTCCTTAGTATCACCCAAACTTATGATAGTCGGTAAATACTGGAGATTCGTCCTGAGCCAGCCTTTATGTTCATCAGCACCACACTCGAGCTACCAATCGTCAAAGACTTGCACCTCCTCCGGTTCTCCTCCAGTAAGCAATGACCTGCACCTCCTCCGGCTCTCCTCTCCGAGCAAAGATCTACTACGCCGACTCAGAATCTCAGATTCGCAATGTCTCGACAAAGAAAGATTGAAATATCTCGCAGTAGTGATTGAAAGATTACACACACACGCGCGCACAAACGCATACGGACACACGCTCGCACACACAAACACGCACGCACCCACACACACACATACTCACACACACGCACGCATGAACGGACGCACACACACATGCATACATTTGATTGCTATTGGATGCCCAACGGGTCTATTTCAAATGTAAACGCTAGCATATTATGTCTGGAAAAAAAGCATTTCTTTTGTGTAACCTTAGAACTGACCCTTGATGAACTATTGTACTGTTCACAGTTCCGTTCAACAAACACACTTTTACATGCATCTGTGTAGTCCTTGTTATAACTCAAACCCTGTACGATATGAGATGTGCAGATGACACCATGTTACAGAGTCTCCTAACATAATGGTAAAATTGATTCCGTCGAAATACACCTATCTTAATTGTTTTGGGAATAGAAGCTAACGATAACGTGTGCGTCAAGGCGGTTCTGGAAATTATTTATTACAGTGTGCGATATTCTATTGGATAGTTTCGTATGTAAAGCACCACTGCTGTTGGAACTGTGTTAAATGAAGGTTAGAATAACACTCTTCTTCAGGCAGTTCACAAGTATAAGTAACGTGAACCGCGGAAAGGCAGAATGCTAGTCATTCAACTAGTGAAATGCTTGTCGCTCGAAACAAATATTTTGGACACGGTCCAGAACCAACATATATTACCAGCTACCGCTTTCTGGAGCCTTGTTCGAGCACTACTCTTGTTAACAAATGTCCCCGAGATGGTACCTCGGTTCTAAAAGTTCGCGTCGAGGTCGTTCTGCAAGGAAGATTGTTGATGTACTGTCAGTCAGGAACAACCGTGGGATTTTCGCGATGTGTTCGCACAGACAACGGCGAAAGCGAAAGCCAGTCCTTTCTGTCGCCCTGTTCGAACCCTAACTTGGTTAATAAACGTCATCCAGATTGACGTCGGAATTTTTAAGTTCGTGTCTATAGTCTGTTTGCAGTGAAAACGTACCGATGAATTTCACTTTAAACAAAAAAGTAAATCAAATAAAGTGAAATTAAGATTGCGAGTCCTCATAATTTTTCCTTGTCAATTGGAAATTTAAATCTCAGAATTTTATTATTAAAATATGTTTAACAAACGATCATAGTTTCAAATCGGTATTATTGGTTTGTATTACAAGGGGGTACGCGCAGTTGTTGGAACAGTGAAACAAATGCATGTGGGGTGCGTGATGAGCGTTAACTTAGACTACCGCAGAAACCAACCCTTCTTGTTCTCGGGGTTTCGTTTAATGTGCATACCCCCTTGTAATACAAACCAGTAGCGATTTGAAACTATGATGGTTTGTTAAACAACTTTTATCCTAAGTTGAATAAAATTCTGAGATTTTAATGTTCAGTTGGCAAGGTAAAGTTAAAGGATTCGCAATCTTAATTTCACTTTATTTGGTTTACTTTTTTTTTAAAGTGAAATTCAACGGTACGTTTTCACTACAAGCAGACTATAGCTTGCGTTCTAAGGATGTTTGCTGCTGCACTACCAGTTAGAAACGGAAGTTTTTACAGTGTTTTCCCCGCGTTCATCGCTGCAGGTGACGTTGGTTTGCGACATAAGCGTACACTGCAAATCAGAACATACAGAACACTAGCGAAGCAGCGCACAAACTGAACACACAAACAGATGAACAAACATTACCACGGGCTTGGTCATCCGAGGTTTGGTACGCGACAGGAATAAACAACATAAGTCTATATACTTCTAAATATTTACTTGTAGTTGTAATGGGTATGTACCATGGGTTCTGGTGACGGTAAGTTTACATCCGAGTCAAAACCCTCGAAAATAAATATGTAAATATGATCTCCAGTAGCAATGTCCTTTCAGCATATGCATGCATTGTCTCCCTTTGAATGAATGCATTGCCATGACAACATACAAAGATAACATATATTGACCCTTGCTTTCATAAAATAACCCACACCTATGAGACACATGTGTCACATTGGTCTTATATATGACATTTCAGATCATAAAGAATCATATTAATTGATTTTCAGTTTTAGTAAAGAAGTGCATTTTATGCAAAATATGTTACCATTTCGTTTTTATACAGAAATTCGTCTTTTAACAAGTGGTGTTAGACAAGGTACTCGTGTCCTTCCGTGTCATTTTCATTCTATTTCAACTCTCTGACACTAAACGAAACAACACCATCGGGAACTATTCTATTATTTGTATTACATAATGTTTTACACAATTACTAGGCTCTTGTGATAATAATCCGTCAGTTATATATTCACAAAAGACATGTGTAATACATTGCATGGCTTCCTGGACAATATCAAGACAAAGTAACGTCACAAGGCCATACACTGACAATCAAAATTGTTAATTTCACATAAAATATATTCCGTATTAGTTGGAGTTAACGTTTCAATAAATATGTGTATAGCTTATGTTTATTTCAAAAAGGTACAAAATATATAATATATACGTATAACCATGTAAATAGAGGAAAATCATCCACCTGGTGATATAGGAGTGTTATCGGGCTAGACTCTGGAACAGGTAACTTTCCGAGGGTATGACATCATTGAGGCGGGGTCACGTGATAACGAGGGTAGCCAATCAGAAGACAAGTTGAACACAGTTATCAGCCATCTTGAATTCTAAACAGTATGAGTACTTTCAGCTAGCACAGGTCGCAGTTGTATGATAGTGTCTTTGTCACTGTTCGGCGGTGTTCCGGGACTCATGGCGTCTCAGCTAGTCAGCACACATAAACTTGTAAAACTCTGAAACAAATGGAACACATATTACAATCTTTTCATTGCACAAAAGCCACAAGAACGTCTTAACTTTAGAAACCAACGTTGTCGTCTTCCCAACCGACCTATACATTCCATTCCAGGTGCAAGAACTCGTTCTCGAACAAACAGATCATTCATTAACTTCTTTAAATGGCGTTACCCTCCTACCTTTATGAATTACTGAAAAACTATCAAAGATATGTTTCCAAGGTATTAGTTTACAAGAAAGCTTAACAACACAGCTATATGTAAATCACGATAAAAAATTCTCAAATGCATTCATATTTAGGTCAAATGCATCTTTTTCAGAAGAGTTACATTGTCCTATATTCGTCCATGCCGAAATAAACCAATAACAGTGATTTTGATGTTCAAAAGAAAGGTTGAGATAAAATTCTACTTTGGAACAATGATAAGCCATTCAAAGTCACCATTTTTCAACTATTAAAACAAGAAACAACTGTTGTAGAGTGTGTACAATTGTAAAATAATCATTCCTATGATTTCAGACTTTTAAAACATTTTCTGCAGATTTGCATTAGTGAACACAAGTAAAACGTGTCTTTGATATGGTGAAAAAGTATTTAGGAACTGTTACACCTAAAATTATTTTTGTTAACACTTTTGCTGGCAAAGTAACATTTTTCCATTTTCTCTTTACACATAGCAATATCAATCGCCAAAACGCAGCAATATTCAAGCAGCATTTGCATCCATTTCACATGTAGAATGATTCAACAGGGTATGAAGAGAGCCTAGAACACATGGTATGATACACAAGTACGTGAAATATGCCACGATTAACAGCTGAAGAGAGAGAAAGAGCCATTGGGATGGTGCAGATGGGGTCGACATACAATGCTGGTGACAACGCCCTCGGATGCCACCGTATCACGGTTATACGACTTATTCAGGGCTTCAGGCAGACTGGGGACACCGTAGACAGACCAAGAAGTGGACGTCCACGCATCACAACGCCAGCTGAAGATAGGTACCTCCGTCATTAAGGAAGGAGGGTAACGTTTCTTTTGGCGTTTAGTGTATTACAGCAACTGTAACACATCTTATATTTGGTATTACACATTCTCAGTAAAGTACAGATTGTAGTACTTTTTTGGCCCTTAGAGTCAGGCACCTAATCGCCAGCACAGGAAGTCAGCAACCTAACCCGCTCAGTCACCGCGGCTTCCAGAAAAACTGGAAGTCGGACAACTGGTAGTTTAGACCACGGACTTTATGTATCCCGCTGATAAATGTAAATTGTCACATCTCCCACGGCCGATACACGATGCCATTTAGAAAGTGGACAATTAATGCAACACACGTAATATTCGGGATTACACTTTCTCAGTAAAGTTGGGGTCAATAGTGTTTATTTTTTTATATAGTCGATGTTCGTTTTTGTTTGCGACACACTACCAGACGGCTATTAGATTATCGAAACGATATATCTTCATGATAGTTTCCAAACCGCTGTTTTCATTGCCACCAAATCAAAGTATGAGTATGTCAGTAATGACAGACACAATGTCCTAAACTTAAGTTCTTATCGTAGATGTCAAATGGTAGAAATGAACCATATCCGGTCTCTTTTTCAGTTTCTGTTATACAGTTTTCCTGATATGTTGCGAATCCTTTGCCTCGTTAAGTTTGTGAGAAATTGTACACAGGTGCATGCCGATCACTTCGGAGTTATCTTGGAGAGCATTCATCTACCTGTCGAGCCGAATACACCAGCACGGCTTGCCATCCCAATGAACACTGTGGGTCATCTTATCGCTACTACAGTGCTAACGCTGCCTATCCATGCTGATTATCAGGTGAGAGCGTTTATGTGAGAATAACGCGAGAATGACAGGAGTTTAACTAATGGGTTCTGACTTTATCAAACGTTTGATGCGTCACAGAGTCTGGATCGAAGGTTTCCACGATGCTAATGTTCATTACACCTGTAAATGTTTAACTGACTGTAACTTACGAGCTTTAACCTTTGTTATGAAGCTATGTCAGTTATCTAAGTCGAGGCATGAGTGGGTGAGTTTAGTTTTACGCCGCACTCTGCAACATTCCAGCTACTTGGCAGGGGTCTGTAAATAATCGATAGGTTTTAGATTTCATATGCATGTCATGCCCCGTGACCCGTGAAGATCCGGGTTTGAATCGGTCTTCAGTAACCCATGCTGGTCGTAAGAGAGGCGACTAACGGGATCAGGTGGTCAGGCTCGCTGACTTGGTTGACACATGTCATCGTACCCCAATTGCGTAGATCGATGCTCATGCTGTTGATCACTGGGTTGTCTGGTCCAGACTCGATATTTACAGACCGTCGCCATATAGCTGGAATATTGTAGAGTACGGCTTAAAACTAAACTCATTCACTCATGCCTCGACTCACTCACTTACTCACTCACTTACTCTCCGTCACTAATCTTACATAATCTGTCGTGGTTCATTTCGATAAGTTTAAAAAGTTTTCACAAGGACAGCTGTTCTTCTCTACAGAACCCCATGCCACAGGTGTACATTCTAAATATAATCTGCTCAGATTTACACCACAGCGGGCCCCACCTACACTACAAATAGGTTGTATACATGTCAAAATGGGACATACTTTGCACCTGGCAAAACCTTCGCATATGAACGTTCAAACTCATTAAAATCTTACATATGTAAAATGTACTTCCAAAATTGTTTAAACACAATACCTCGGTCAATAATGCACAAACGTCTTACTTTGTGTGTTGCGTATCTAAACATTTGCAGACAAAATACTTCGACAATGTGATTTACATAACTAAATGAAGTAATCTCCAGTGGCACATATCATGATATTATAGTTAAATATACAAAGTCATTTAGTAATATACACTCCCACGCTTTCACATAAACTGAAGGGCAAACGAAAGTACTCACTTGAGTGAATGAGTGAGTAAGATGTGAACTTCCTGTTTTCAGCAAGAGATTTAGAGTGAGTGAGTTTAGTTTTACGCCGCTTTTAGCAATATTCAAGCAATATCACGGCGGGGAATCACCTTCACATATTGTACCCATGTTGGGAATCGAACCCGTGTCTTCGGCGTGACGAGCGAACGCTTTAACCACTGGGCTACCCTACAACTCGTGTTTAATTGAAAACAGGATTAGTCAAAACGTTATAGAGGTTATCAAAACGTAACTAGGCTGCAACAGGTAGACTAAATACTGCAAGCCTAAGATCCAGATCACAGCTAAAGTGCCCATGGAATAAAGATTTCTTGTTTCATATTAAGCCAACATCAAACACAATCTTTCTTACAGTATTATTTACATTTATATATATAACTCTAACCCTAACCCTTAACCCTATATAAACATGACTCTTCGTGTGTTTGTCCACATAACATAACACCAAGTGAAGCCTATAAAAAAGCGACACGACATCGTATGTCGTAAGCGTGTGTTAAAGTATGGGAGTTACGATCATCTTAACTCTAAGATCATTTTTGTGAATAGGTACCCAGTTACTAAGCACTGTAGTAAAAAAATCAACTTTGTAACAATTCCTAGATCCACCTGGAGAGGGAAATAAAGTACTAATGCAGAGGCTACAAATGTTATGCGGATAGTCAGCATGAGTGAGTGAGTGAGTATGGTTTTACGCTACTTTTAGCAATATTCCAGCAATATCCCGGCCGGGGACAACAGAAATTTGTTCACACATGGTGCCCATGTGGAGAATCGAACCCGAGTCTTCGGCGTGACGAGCGAACGCTTTAACCACTAGACTATCTCACCACCCTTCAGCATGAGTGACGTGCGCCGATTTACGGTACGACAAATAGGTAGCCAGGTCACGTCAAATTATTATAAGTATACTGGTATGTTTCTACACTGTGGTCCTGTTACTGTACTTGTTTAAAACAATCTATCACGTGCTCAGTCGCACCTTAGAATCACGTGACTAAAGATTAAATCGCTGTATCTTGAAAATAAAACGAGAGTGAATTCTTTTCGATTATATGCCGCTCATTACTAACGGTAAAGTTTATAACGGTAAAGTGTTTATAACTGAGATATGAATGATCTCTAACCTTGTTCTTTGATTACGTCAAGAAATGTGTTCCGCCATGTACTAACAAGACGAGAGAAAAATCCGTTTTCTTAGAGACATACGCTGAATACATTTGCGATTAAAATATATTTTGAAGATTATAAATTAATGCCTGCAAACACTTGATGTGATTTGCCACTGTATAAAACGTGAATTTGATGATGTAGTGAAATTGAGCACCTAATTCGACTGAATCAGCACGAACACTGTGATTCAAATGGAAGGTAGGACAAATTCATCAAGCCTACCTGAGAAGGAAGAGAGTTTAGTGGATGTAAACTTCTTCATTATGCGGAACACAACGTTTAGGAGATTCACCTGATGAAGGAGTAAGGATATGCACCGAAACGTAGTGTACATTATAAAGAGGTTGACATCCATAAAAACTCTCTTCCTTAAGTGCACGACTAAATGCCATTCAAACACATATCTCAGAACATATCAATATCAGAACAGGGATCAGCGGGCCTCCGAATGTAGGCACCTAGGGCAATATACCATCCTGACCGTAGGGATTGTTTTCACGCATCTGTGGGTGACTAGGCCAAGTGAAATACCTGCTATCAAACATGTATGTGAGATGAGATGCAATGGTTCATGATTGGCTACTCCATGGTGATGACCTAAGGTCAGATCATGACGGACTACTTTCCGGGTGGTAATTGATTGATAACTCAGTAGTGCAACTCATTTACGCCTGTGACCAAACTTCAAGGTTTACAATGTCAATAAACGTTCTTCAGTCTCACCAAGATTCGATATCATTCCTGCCTTGGTAATTCGCTGGTGTGACGAACGAATTTGTGTGGTCAGCAAGACTGACCATCCGATTCCTTTGGTCGCCTCTAAGAACAGTTATCCAGAGGGTCATATAATGTAAGAGTAAGCAGTAAGT